TTTATCGAAAATTTGTGTGGATCGAATATTTTGCCTGTGAGTGTATTATAAAAAATTAGTAAATGCAAAAAAATGATACTCTAAAAATTTTTTGTGTTTGCCCAAAATAGACTTTGGGCGTGACAAACAGACATTTTTTCCCGTATAAGGTCCCCTACCAGATTTTTGATACGGGGCCCCCTCGAGGCTAGCTACGCCACTGATTTATACAAAATAAAATTATTAAATAAAATGTAATTTACTAATATAACATAAGATTTTGTAGGTTTCCAATTTTAAGATTTTTCATATTAATTACATTTTATTTATACCTAATAATTTTATTTTGTATAAATATATGTTAATAAAATGTATAAATCTAAGATGCAAATATAAAAAGAGAAAAAAAAGTATAAATATATATTCCCCACTTTAACATAAATGTATGTATAATTATTTTATGTTTTTAACTCAGTATACGGTTATAGCTATTTAGGTCTAAGAATAATTTCGACAAAAGGTTTCTATTTTTATAAAGATTAAAAGTGTAGTATACATACCTTATTCATTTAATGTTTTATTGCTTTCTTTAGGACATAGTTCAAAAGAAATTTATTTTATTTAACGGAAGTTTCTTTTGTAAAAAAACCTTTTAAGCCCAATTCAATAAAAATTTATTCATTTTAAAAAAGAGACCTGGTGCAGCACCACTGGTGCTATTAAGCATTAAAAGGGGTTATTGTGTTAGAATTAAATTTAAGTCACGTAACAGAAAAGCGGCAACTTTTTGGTCGCGACATTCAATTGCCACTAGTTGCTGTCAGACAAGTTTTATAAATGACCGACCTCGGACAAGCATTAGCCCACTGAAATCCAAAATTTATCGTCGAGGAAAAACAGACGTAGATCAACTGGTTTAGATATATATCTATATAGACAAAAACAGGCGATAATTTACTTAAAATATAAAAAAATTGAAAAGGTGACAAACTTATATCGATTTTTTATTCAAATACGTACCTATAAATAAAAATTTAGTGCTAATTGCGCACTATTAAATAGAAATAATACAATACGATTTAAGAAGTAGGTACCTAAGCATTTATATACGGGGTTTTTATAAGGCAATAGAAAAAAAACACGTCATTATAGGTTGATTCATTTTAATTTTTTAACATAATCTCATATATCGATAAACTTTGCCCAGCATTTTATCAACATTTTAAAGCCTTTCAAAAAGTAAAATTTCGAAAGGCCCTCAAAATGTTGCAGCATCCGGAGAGCACTTCTACATGTTTGGAAACAAAATCGCTTGAATCCAAATCTTTTCAAAACGGTGGATGCGGAAAAAGGACATTTCATGACGTTTTGAAATCGGTTAGCACGATTACATTTATTCTTTACTGTAAACAAACCGGGCACGCATTTTTCGATATCTTTTTATTATCCAATTTATCGTGCAAAATTAAAACGACTGAGCCATGTGAGCCTGTGTCCATTTCCATCTCCATGTGAGCCTGTGTCCTCAACATGTTTTACTCGTCGAATACTCCAAACCTTATCGTAGATTTTATCTATTCATTCTGACCTACATATTAGACGTCCCAACTGTGGTTTATCACATGTAATGGGTGCTAGGTTTATTCACATTGGAGAATAAACGCTGAAATGCATATGCATATGACAACGTATAAAATTACTAAATTTTTAGTAATACTATAATTTTATGGTTTAGTTTTTCACCATAAAAGTTATTTTAAAGTGCCAGTTTTCAAAATGTTTCTTATAATTTTACTAAACATTAAAACCTTTCTTTGGGATTTTCATGCTATTTTTTATCAAACAATAGTCGTCTGTTTATTGTGATTAGTATTGCTTTATATATATGTCTATTAAAAACCCGCATTAACGGGTAATTTCTTTTCAGATATTTTTTTGTGAACTCTAATAATGGTATAGCCATGGCCGAGTTGATATAAAAGCAATACCATGAGAATATCAAAACATTTCACTTAGGATATTTTACGTTAAACGTAACTTTGTTGTTTGCATTTTGAATATTCTTTTAATTAAACAATATATCATATATTAGACAAAACATTACAACATCCATATACAAGGGTAAGTTAGGTCTTTAGAAAACTATAAAAAATAGTACCTATATTATGTAACAAGTTTGGAATAAGGCGTATTCCGCTGGAGTGAAAAGATGAACGGTTTCACAAGAGAGGAATATACGATTCCAAATATGTTTCAGACCATACTTTTATTAAGTTTTTAAACAATAACATAGAGAAATAATTTAATTGAAAAGTTGAAATGGTCTAAAAGTTGTTAATAAATAATAAACACAGGGATGTCGCCACCAGTGTTTATTTCGTCATCCGGTTGTAGAATAAATTCATTCTATAACACTTTAAGGAATATATATAATTCCCCATTAAAAACTGGTATTAGAACGGTCAACTGATACCCTCCCAAATTTCCCAAGGACAGCAAATGACCAGTCTGTCCTAGGCATAATAAAAAAATCGGTATGGAATTTTTTTCAAAGATATGGATGAAATTTATTTAAAATGGATATGATAAACAACATTTTAGTTGTTTAATTTAATAGAAACAATGTATTTCTTATATTTTTTATGCCACTGAATGGAGAAGACATTTAGTCTCAAGTCATACCCACATAACATGCTATGGATATGGATATTTTATGGATATACTTGATATATTCTTTTATGTATATCCATTTGTGAATATTTTATGGATATACTGAATATATTTTTTCATGTATAACCATAAAATTGATATACTTGATATATTCTTTTATGTATATATCCATAAAATGTCCATAAATGGATGTACTTGATACATTCTTTAATGTATATCCATTTATGGATATTTTATAGACATACTTTGTATAACTTTTATATAATAAAAAATTATAACTATAGTATATAATTATAGTATATTATACCATAATAGTATACTATAGTTTTAATTTTTTTACTGAAATTTTTAAATTTTATATTATAAGCTTAGAATATACACTGGAATCAGTGTAGCCATCCTTTGAAAAATCGTTTTTTCTAAGTTCTAATTCGTAAAAGACAATTTTTAAGATTTTGTTTTAACAATTAAAATATTTTTAAGATATTGAAATTTTTACATATTCATAAAAACTAATCTACTTACTGTAAACATACTAATTTTTTACCTTTTGTAATTAAACAAAAACCAAAATAATAACTTATTAAATTGTGCACAATTTTCTAAAGTTTTCTGTCATTTAAAAGTGTCAAATAGTTTGAAGTGTCCAAAAATGGATTGTTCCGTTGGAAAATTAATTAATGAAAAATGCCATAAAAAATATTTTTCGCGATTGAATCTTGTACTAAGGAGGAAAAGGGTTTAATAGAAAGGCGAGTGGATGCAACTGTAACCGATATTTGTACGTAGGTATCACAAATTAAAGTATCTACATTATTTTACCAAAATTTTTGGTGAAGTCTGCTGCGATCTATTTAAACGACATAAGTCGTTAGTTTATTCCTCTTGAAAGACATTATACACATAAGAAAATTTTCCGATTCATATAATTTTTTAGAGGTAAAAAATAGTAAATAGGTTTTTTTAGGTATACCTATAATATATAATTGTAAAAGTTAAAACTCGACTTGTTCAGTTTATTTATCTATATGCAGTTAAAACTATAGGTTTAATTTAAATTTAGGATTTAATACCTGTTTTATTTTTTCTAAATATAAAGTTTATGATAAGTATGTCTTTTAGTCATTTAATGAATTTTTTGTACATTTAATTAGGTATGTTTTATTAATTTAAAAAATAAATGGGTAGTTAATTTTCGACGCGACTGTATGTGGTATTTATATGTTCATAATGAATTAGAAGTCAATTCAAGGCTGTCGAGTTATTTTAAAGATGTAATACGCTTTTTAGAAATATATGGTTAATATATGAATTTAGTCACAGGTGGACATATACATCCACAGCCCAGCTAAAAGAAAAATACACAATAATTTTATTTATGATTATTGGAGACTAAGTGTGATGATAAGCATAAATTGGTTTAAATCGACTCACTTAAACATAGCCTTTTTAAACCATGAAATAGCTGAAAATAGTGATTTTTCGAAAACATGAATTTCAAATATATTTTTTTAACTGTAAGCCGGCATTATACGAAAATGTTTTTATTGCTTTTATATAGAGTAAAATATTTGGTAACAAACTACATCAAAAAAATTTTGCCAATACTTCTCATAAATACTCGTAGAAAAAATAAGTAAACTTAAGGAAGTAACAAGAATATATTTAGACATGTTTCTGATGTGTCCTGTCCATGGGCTTGGAATGGCCGTTTATTTTTAAAAAATATTTTTTTTTTGTTTTCAAGATTTTTCTTACATACCCTAACAATATGTTATGGATATCCATTTTCGGGTTTTTTAATATACATAATATATACCATGGATATATTATGGACATTCAGGAATATACATCATGGATATACTATGCTGCCGTGCTTAATGAAAACGCCGTAACCAACAATTGTTCGATTTTTGTTTTACGGCATTTTCTACTAGAAAAATTCATCCTGCGTCTATCCCCGGTACTCAAAAAACCGTATCTATATATATACGGTTTTTTGAGTACCGGGGATAGACGCAGGATGAATTTTTATAGTAGAAAATGCCCTAAAACAAAAATCGCACAATTGTTGGTTACGGCGTTTTCATTAAGCACGGCAGTATGGATGTCCATAGTTTTTTAATGTACTTGATATATGTCATGGATATATTATGGACATCCAGGAATATACATAAGATATACGTCATGAATATACTATGGATATCCATGCTATCTCCATACGATATTCGCGAATATACGAATATGCATAGATGTATATCCTATGTATATTTTCTTGTTATGTGGGTAGGAGGGCCTGTCATAGAAGAATCTGTCATTACTCCTCCAGTCATAAAAGGATCGTTCATTTTTTATCCAGTCATAGCAGAATCTGTGATATCTTCTCCAACCATAGCAGGATCTGTCATTTCTGCATCATCAGAAGCAGGAGGTAACATTCCTGGATCGTCAGAAGCAGGTGGTGACATTTCTGCATCAACAAAAGGAAGGGGTGACATTTCTGCATCAACAGAAGCAGAAGGTGACATTTCTGCATCAGCAGAAGCAGGAGGTGACATTTCTGCATTAGCAAAAGAAGGGGATGACATTTCGGGATAAACACAAGCAGGAGTTGATATTCCTGCATCAGAAGCAGGAGGTGGCATTCCCCCATCAAAAGCAGGAGTTGGCAAAGCGCCTTTGGCGGAAGTCGGAATTGACATTGCTTCTGCTGCAAAAAGAAGTTATTTAAAATTTTGTATTAATAACTTATAGCTTTGTTTTATTTTTTTGGTTTACAAAGCAATAATAACATGCTTTGGAAACGTTTGTATAAATAAAGTTTACATAAAAACATAAAAGTAAAAAAGTAAAACTTGAAACTGAAGTGATTGATTACGAACTAGGAACATAAAATAATTTTGGACATTCATTATTTAACGCGCTTGGACTAGTCATAAAATTCTATATCTATCAGATATATCTAACCTAACTGTATACTTTTTAATATTGTTGGTTTTATTTATATATTTAATTTGAACAATTAATCGAACCACCGAATTCTACACAACATTTTATCTTAAAGGTATAATTTTATTTTATTAAACGATACATGAAACGTACAATTATTAAAAGTATAAAGTGAGATAAGACTGATTTAACAAAAGTTGAATTTTATGATTGGTACAAACACGTTGCATAAGGAAATCGCGGACAATTACTGAAGCCTAAACCACTGGCGAGAAGAAAACGAACTATTTACTAGCGTTATCAAAGTTTTTATCTACTTCTTCATTTAATACAACAGTGTTATTTAAGGCACTAGAGCAATAAATTGCCAAAAAGGGAGGTTAAAACCGTTTAACAGATGTCAAATTATAAAAAAGAAAAATGCCACGGGCCCCCGGCCTAAGGGGCCCCCGGCCGAAGAACGCCCCCGGCCCGAGAGCACAATCTGTAATATTACTTTTTGATTTGATTTTGATATATAAGTATCTGTACTTCCAAAAGAACAAAATTCTTCTGTAAAACTTTAAAAAAAGCCTTTTTAACGAAAAAAAATATCACTGTGTGTATCAGAATTGTACGATTTATGGGATTAAAAAAATATTCGTGAATTTTGAATAAATAAAATTATTATGTTTATTACATTAAATAAAATAATAAAACTATATTCGGAATAAACAAAATCCATTATAATTCAATAATAATTAAAATATTATTTCGTAAATTAAATGCAAAACGGACATATGGCAACATGCCGTTGATTCAAAGCTGACATTTCTTCACATTGTTGTACGATTTATTGGTAATAATAATAATAATAATAATAATATCTTAATCTTTATTTTACAAAGGGAAAATACTAGACTTAAAAAGGACATATAACAACATCTCTCTCAGTCCGTATATTTTTTTATTGCTTTCTATTTTAATTTATTTAAAAGTTATGCACAAAATAATTTTTTCGCCCAGCACATATAAAAATGAATCATATCAAACCTAAAAATATGACGGAAAATAATATTTATTGTCTCTAGGGTCGCTAAACTCATATCGTCCCTAGGGCCGCTAAACTTGATTTTTTCACAATCTAGACACCGTTGACTGACATTTATGTATTTTGGCATTTGACATTTGAGATTTTCAGACGTTTGTGTATATCAAAATAAAAACGGACAACAAAAGTATAAAATAACAATAAAACCTGATTTAAATTTTGTAATAAAGTGAAAATGAATGGTAACTCGGACAGTGACGAAAAATTTACGAATACTTGACCAGATTTGAAAAAGGAAGCTAGCAATGTTTCTATGAATTTTTTACCTACAAAGTTAAGACAATGCGTTGAAACGGTACGAAAAGTGCTATGAATTATTTAAAAACTGGAAAAAGGTTCAAAAAGCCAAAAACTTAACAGAAAATGTATTATTTGCTTATCTATCGGAAAGATCAAAGATAATTCTAATGAAACATCAACTTCATCTGTAGAAATAAGCCTTCAAATTCTGGTACTACCCACAATTGTGCTCAAGGCATAATTAACATTAATTACAACAATCTTAGACAACAATAAATAAGTTCGTAAATATATTAATAAAATTAAATATATTAATAAAATTTAAAAAAATAATTTCTTTGATGCTAGGCGAAAAACAGGTGTGTGTCACACATTCAGAAAACGCATTAGCAGCCCTTAGCTATCAACTGCCCTCGCTTCGCTGTACAGTTAATAGCCGCGAGCTGCTAAAGCTAATTTTCTGCCCTTGAGACACAATATACTATGTTTTGTATGATGTTTATTTGTCAAGTTATTGGCTTCTAAAGAATTGTCGTTTTTGAAATTCGTTTTTTTTGGAAATAGTTTTTTTTATTAAACAAATTTATTTTAAAATATTAAATATGGCGACTTAAATAGAAAATTTACTGTTCTTTTTTAATACAAAATAAAACGATTTTTTATTTTTTTTAATATACAAAACCGGAAATAAACTTTTCAAATCATAATTTTAGTAACTTCGACCAAATTTTTTTAATTTTTTTTATTTCAAAATATAGCCTAAAGTACATTTATTATACACCAGAAGTTTCAAAATGGAATCTGCAATAGTTTAGGAGATAAATAAATTAAAGTACATACGTGTCGCACTGAGCGTAGTACCTGGCCTTCCTTAAGCCGGAAAAAAATAGCTGTGCTGTCATAATAATAACATAATGAGACAATATTGTAACAAAGGAGGAAAGTACCTATTTTATTTAAAAAAAGTTAAAATTTTATAATCCACGCTATAACTGGTTCTTTTTACCAAAAGGCCTTCGGTTGTTGGAATAAAGGCATGCAACTTTTTTGTTCCAGGAATGGTGATTGCTGAATCGAACCGGGGCTGCAAAAAAATTCTATGGCGTTGAATATTGTCTTTGGAGCAGTAGTAAATGGCTGTCTGTTTTAAAGAGGATTTTGCCCATTCGTATAATCGCATTGGTGTAACGATTGCGTTACTTGCAGGCAACTGTAGGCTTGAGGTTTCCTCCAAGCCCATCGCACGGTCCTTTTCCGTGAGACGTTGCGTGAAAATGTATCTCTGCATCGGCATTGAAATCTTCTTTGTAATAAAATAGATTCAGAAAGTTAAATCTATTTTTAAAATGTTCTGAGGCCCCGTCAGTTCCATATATAATTTTAGACACATTGATTGAAAAGCGTAGAAGGTGGCTGTATCATGCTTTAAGTCATCTGAAATCATAACAATGCTGCCATGTTTTATTTCATTTCCATCTCTATAATAAAAAACCGATGTCAGAAGTGTTGCCTGTTCATTATTCCAATGAAAAGAGCATCTTGGACAACAAAACTATAATTTTCGGCAAAATCACATTGCACGAGGATTTCGCCTTCAACGATAGTCTCCTTAAGAGTTTTAAAATACAACGCCTGTTCCTCTGCAATATAGGCATGAGGTTTCAATGTATCCAAAGCGTCACACAAGCTATCCACAAAATCACCAGAAGACAGCAGTTGAGTAGATATTGTGAAGCATTTTTCAAACTGCACGTCCGTCACTTGATTGTTATCAAATATGATTTTCAAGCTTCACGAATTGCACTTAAACCAGGACAAGATTTACAACATTCATTTGACGGTGTTTTTGTAGTCATCAAATGACATGTTGGTGTTGGATTGAGACACATCATCTTGCGAAGGCAATCTTTATAAGATGTAAGTGGCATGGTAGTTCCAGCAGTAAGATTGGCAATATCTCCTCCATTTAACATCAGCTTAACATTTTGATGGTAGGTACAATTGGCGTCTCCGAAATGTGAACGATTTTTTGTTGTCATGGTTTTTTTTCATAAAATTTATTCGTTCATTCCCGGCTTCGGCCAGTGGTGTTACATATAGAAGGGAGAATACTAAGAATAAGAACAATATCCTAAATCGTTCTATTTTTTTAATAATATTTTAACAAACAATAATATAAACAATATAACAAATAAATTAACTTTAATTTGGTTTTATACAACAATATAAATTAACAAGTACCTAGGTAAATACACAATAAAAATAACAAAACTAAATTAACATATTGCTCAAGAAAATTGGTTTTTAAGTGAAATAGCTGCAGATTTAAATGTCAGTAAAAGCTGCATATTTTATATCAAAAAACGTTGGCAAGAACAACAAAGATTGAGAAGACCTATCAGGCAAGGTGTAGGTAAAATCTCCAACGAAAATGAAGACAATGCTCTTGTCGCACTTATTAGGCAAAATCCTTTCAATAGCGCATTTAAGGCCCGAGAAGATACACAATTTCCAGGATCTCTTCGAACAGCTCAAAAAAGATTGAAACAAGCTGGCTTAAAAAACTGTGCTGCTAAGCTATTTTAATACTTAATTGCAGAGCCATTAGCTGCCACAACCCTTTGCAACCTTCTTGGCATGGACATTATTAGCTCACGCATGTCGTATGACTCAGCAAGCTCATCCCAAGAATTTTCAACAGAACTCCATAGTTCATCTCGGTTTGCTGGCCTAAAGTCCCGTTGATATATATTTTTAACTATGAAACCCCACACGTTTTCAATGAGGTTTATAGATGGCCATGGCAAAACAGTTATGTGGTTGTTGTTTACCCACTCTGTACCCACCCGAGCTGTGTGAACTGGTGCATTGTCCTGTAATATAATATTTATTAGAATCGTTTTTGAATACTATACAGTTTTCTTACATGTTGGAATAAAAAGTTTTCTGGAAACACGTGTCTAACTGAAGGTAGCATAACGTTGTCCAAAATCCTCGTATAGTGCTCAGCCGTTAATCTACCATCAATTTCCTAACATACTCCCGGACCATGGATGCTTATCCACGCCCAAAAATTTATGGAAAAGCGTCCACTATTTGAGGTTCTTAATGTATAGTTCTCCTCAAATCTTGCGTTTCTTGGACGATATACACGGAGCCTTCCATTATTGCAAGATTGGAATGTTTTTTCATCCGAAAATATAACATTATTCCAAAAATCGTCTCCATAATTTAAATAGTCATTGGCGAACTGGACTCTCCTGCGCTTATTTTCGTCAGTTAAAAAAAGCTTATGAGCAGCAGCACAGTTTTTTAAACCAGATTGTTTCAATCTTTTTTGAGCTGTTCGAAGGGATCCTGGAAATTGTGTATCTTCTTGGGCCTTAACTGCGCTATTGAAAGGATTTTGCGTAATATGTGCGACAAGAGCATTATCTTCATTTTCGTTGGAGATTTTCACACCTTGCCTGATAGGTCTTCTTAATCTTTGTTGTTCTTGCCAACGTTTTTTGATATAAAATATGCAGCTTTTACTGGCATTTAAATCTGCAGCTCCAATTTTCTTCTAATTTGGCTATTGCCCTGGACCTCTGAGCCTCGGTTAAGTGGGGTGGCATTTTTAATATTGCAATTGACAACTATTATCAAATTTGACAACGACCGACGACACTGATGCAAAACCCATATTACACGATTAAATTTTGCCGTTCACATTTCGGGGACGCCAATTGTACAAACACATACCATATGTGTACCAGAGTCGCCAGCGAGGATACATTGCTTGGGTCTTAGAGTAAAAAACTTTGTTAAGCCTACCTGAATGTTCGAATATTCGTCTTTGAACTTCTGATAAAGTTCATCAATGTTGCACATTAGAAGTTGTTTTTGTAGATGCGTTCTTTTGCCATTATCTAATTTAACAGATATAAAATCTTTTTTACCAGGCAATATTCGGCTAATATCTTCTCGGAGGTAAAAACATTTAACAAAGTTTTCGGTCTCAATTGGTAGTTTACGGCCACCACGTGGGTTTGGAGATGACAAGACACCGAATCGATCTACAATTGTAAGTTGCTTTGCTTTTCTCGCTTGCCGTCTAGATGTGCCAAATTCTTCCGCAAGTTTATTTTCACTCCATGACTTAGGCGCAATAGTCAATTGAAGTAGACGAATCATTAAATTTTTCTTTTAGTTGCCATAAAATTTCTTGGTTTTCTAGAACTGTTTCAGTTTGAGTTGAATTATGTTTAAACTTATCTTCAGGAATGAACGGTTCATCTTGGGTGTTTTGCGAAGGTTCACTCGATGTTTGACTGCACTTTAAAAGATCTTCATTAATTTGTACTAGAGGTGTTTCATTTAAGAGCCTTTTCCTACAAGATGCACATACATAAACATCGAGTGAAAATGTCCACTTTTGAGCCAACTGTTCAGATATTTTCCTTAAATTTTTAAACTTTCGATGAAGTACCAAGCGAAATGGATTAAAACATCGATCACCGTTCGGAGCCATTATAAATCAATAACTTAAAATGTGCACAATTCACTGAGAGATTAAAACAACAACTACAGAAATAACGAAAAATACGAAATGGCTTAGCTTCTATTTGTCATTTGAATACTTCTCGTATCTAAGAGATGGCGCTAGCAGTCGCTTTTTACTTACTGGTAAGTACTATATGGCTTTTTATTACTTGTCACAAAATTTGTTTTAGACTACTGCTTCCTAGTAATATTTTTGTTTAATAAGTACTATTTTAATTTGAATAATAAATACCCCACAACATTGTTAAAGCTTTAAATACGCTTAAATAGGAAAGTAAATATAAATATTGCAGCGGTTTAGTGTAATATCGCGCAAACCAGAAAGCTAGGGTACGACGCTCAGTGCGGCACGTATGTACTTTAATTCATTTATCTCCTAAACTATTGCAGATCCCATTTTGAAACTTCTGGTGTATTATAAATGTAGTTTAGGCTATATTTTGTTGAAGTTACTAAAATTCTGATTTGAAAAGTTTATTTCCGGTTTTGTATATTAAAAAAAAATAAAAAAGCCCGTCTTATGTTGTATTTAAAAAGAACAGTAAATTTTCTATTTAAGTCGCTATATTTAATATTTTAAAATAAATTTGTTTAATTCGAAAAACTATTTCCAAAAAATACGAATTTCAATAACGACAATTCTTTAGAAGCCAATAACTTTACAATTAAACATCATACAAAAAAAATATTGTGTGTCCACATTCATACCTACTAGAAGTACAATTAAGCCGAATATGAACAAATTTCAGAACGTCACTTTTTTTTCGCTGTCCACTTCACGTGAAATGCCCCATCTGTTAACCGACCAAAATTTTTTGGAATTGTTTGTGTTCTACATTTTTTTGAAATCGAGTTTTTGTAAGTTTATTGTGCATTTAATTCATTACTTTTAGGTATGTAATACTTACCTTTTATTATTTTAACCAAAAGTAACTATATAACTATAACTATAATAATTATTAACGCATACTTTTTACATATTTTAAAAGTAACACATGCAAAAATATTAAGAATTTACATTTTACTCTAAAATCTTTAATAATTTAATTTACTTACTTAAGCATTTCCGGTAAAACTAGAGTAACAAAAATATGTTAAATATGTCAAAAAGTTCTAAATTACACTTTATAAAGGTTACCCCAGTTTTATGACTCTAGATAAAATACCAAATTTTTGCGATGAACCACGAATTTACCAGAAAATGGCATTTTTATTAAAAAATAATTCCGAAACGACGAATTTAGCCAATTCGGGACTTCTGGTAAAAGTTGTTCATATTATCAACTTCAAACGAAAAAAAATATAAAGTAAAAAAAATGTGACAATGTTAAAATTTTGACCTTATTTTTTTGCCTTTTTTTAAAAAAATATTTTCAAAAAATGAGTGAATTAAATTAATTTTTAATATATTTTTTTTTATTTATTAAACATTTACCTACAATTTAAAAAAAACTGTAACGATCGAAACATTTTTGGCCAAGTTATCGCATTTTCAAGAAAAAATTTCACTTGTAAAAAGAGAAAAATCGATGTTTCTGTCCATTCAAAAATTTTCTACGGGTGAAAAAACAAATTTAAGCAAGAAGAAAAAATACGGGTCTTATCGATTTCGGTATAGATTATATTATATATAGATTTTACAGTGATTGGCCAGATTCGTATAATAATTGGCATAGCAAAATAGATAGTAATTGGCCACCACTTTAATAGGCCTACATACTTAGATAGGTACCTTTCTTATTATACTAC